TTCTATACAAACAAGTGCTGTTGGCTTATGCTCCACACTTTCCTAAAATCTCTCAAACAAGCAGAATCTAGCCTCAATGTGGCTTGTACCTCTTGCTAAGTGGTTCCAGGTCCAGCAATAGCAGTAGCAACAGTGGCTTCAGTTCACAATTTGGACTCTTTCAAGCACCTCTAAGCCCACAACAATCTAAGGTCCAGCCTCCCACAGATTACTCTGTAGCTCTTCCCAGGTAGCCCCAGGGAGGGCACAGGCAGTGGCTGACCTTGGCCTGCTATTTCCAGAAGGTCCTAGAGCTAGCACACATGGTGGACAGCTTCAGAGCACACTGAAGAACTTCCACAAGTATCACACTTGAGGGGTGGACTCAGCAGGCACCAGTGCTCTGGTGAAGGGAGTCCTGCTCTGTGGGGTTGGTCCCTGGACAATAGATCCTCCAAGGGACCATGTAAGTTCTCACAGCCTATTCTCCCATTGATGTGCCAACTTCAGTCATGACTCTACTACAGCGAGGGCACACACAACCCACACAAGGGATACACCTGGAACATCCATCAGGTGACTAGGGAAACTGTGCTACTGGGCTCTATAAACACGTGACCCAAAGGCCACTCTACCAATATCATGAGATATCGAATGTCTACCTAATACATAGAAACAAGCACAAAGGGGCAGCCAAAAGGAGGACACAAGAAACATGTCTCAAATAAAAGAACAGAAAACCCCAGAAAAAGAACTAAACACATTGGAGACCAGCAGTTTACCAGATGCAGAGTTCAAAACACTGGTTATAATGATGCTCAATGAACTTAGGGGAAGAGTAGATGAACTTAGTGGAAACTTCAACAAACAGGTAAAAAACATAAAAATAGAACTAGAAAACAAAAAAAGAATCATTAAAAAATGAAGAATGCACAAACTGAAATGAGGACTACATTATAAGGAATCCACAATAGAGTAGATAAAGCTTAGGGAATATAGCAGAGGATCAAATCAGAGATTTGGAAGTAAGTAAGCAAAAAACACCCAATCAGAACAGTAAAAATAAAAGACAAAAAAGTATGAGGATAGTGTAAGGAGCCTCCCAGACAACTTCAAGCATCCTAACGTTTGCATAGTGGGGCCGTGGGAAGGAGGAGAGAGAACAAGAAGTTGGAAACATATTTGAAAAGTAATGATGGAAAACTTCCATTACGTGCTAAAAGAAGTAGACACACAAGTCTAGGAAGCACAGAGTACCAAATAAGATGAACCTAAAGAAGCTCATGCCTAGACACATCATAATTAGAATGCAAATAGTTAAAGACAAAGAGAGAATCTAAAAAGCAGCAAGAGAAAAGCAGTTAATTACCTAAAAGGGAGCTCACATAAGACCATCAGCTGGTTTCTCAACAGAAACTCTGCAGGTCATAAGAAATTAGTACAAAATATTCAAAGTGGTGAAAAGCAAGGATTTATAACCAAGATTGCTCTACCCATCAAGTCTATCACTGAGAATCAAAGGACAGAATAAAGAGCATCCCAGACAAGAAAAAGCTAAAGGAGTTCATCACCACCAAACCAGTATTACATAAAAATTTAAAGGGTCTTTTAAGAAGAGGAGGAAAAAAAAGATAAAAAGTGAAAATAATGGCAATAAATACATATTTACCAACAATGAATTTAAATGCAAATGGATTAAATGCACCAATCAAAAGAGGTACAATAGCTGATGGATAATGAAGACACTTAAATGTGCTATCCACAAGAAACTCACTCCATGTTGAAAGATACACACAGACTGAAAAGGATGGAAAAATATATTTCATGAAAATGAAAATGAAAAAAAAGCTGGGGTAGCAACACTTATATCCAACAAAATACACTTAAAAAGAGGCTATAACAAGAGCCAAAAATGGATCCAACCATTCCACTTTTGAGTATTTAACTAAAGAATCCCAAAACACTAAATCAAATGATATAATCATCCATACGTTCATTGCAGTATTATTTACAATAACCAAGATGTGGAAGTAACCTAAGTGTCTATAAATAGATTAATGGATAAAGAAGTGGGGCATATATAAATTAAATATGACTCAGTCATAAAAAAGAATGAAATCTTGTCATCTGCAACAACGTGAATGGACATAGATTGTGTTGAGTGAAATAAATTAGTGAAACACAAATGCCATATGATTTCATTTCTTTAGGGACTCTTAAAAACAAACTATATAAACAAGTAGAGAAGAAACAGACATACATACAACACTTTGATGATTGCCAGGTAGGAGGGGTATTGCAGGGATTGTGAAAAATGTGAAGGGTTAAGAAGTACAATGTGGTTGCTACAGAATAGTAATGGGGATGTGAAATACAGCATAGGGAATATAGTCAATATTATTGCAGTAACTAGGTATGGGGCCCTGCGAGGTAGCTCAGTTGGTTTGGATGTTGTACTAATACGCCAAGGTTGCAGGTTTGATCCTGGTCAGGGCACATACAAGAAGCAACCAACGAATGCATAAATAAATGGAACAAATCAGTGTTTCTCTCTAAAATAAATTCTTAAAGAGATTCTATTTATTTACTTCTAGAGAGGGGGAAGGGAGGGAGGGAAAATCATGTTGGAGAGATACATCTCTCAGCTGCCTCTTGCAGGCCTGCAACTGGGGAACTGGCCTGCAATCCTGGCATGTACTCTGACTGGGAATCAAACCGGTGATCTTTCAGATTGCAGGCTGAAATTCAATGCACTGAGCCACACCAGCCAGGGCTCTAAAATCAGTTTTTTAAAAAAGCTATGTATGGTGTCAGATGGGCAGTAGATTTATTGAGGTGATCACTTTGTAAGTTATGTGTCTAAACCCTGGCTTGTACACCTGAAACTAATAAAATATTGTATATCAACTGTAATTGAAAAATAAATTATTTAAAAAGAAAAATTTAGTGCAGGAAATGAGAAATGGTGGTGGTTTCTAATAAGTAGGACTGAGTCAATTGGATATCCATATGGGGGAAATAAACCTTGATTCTAACTTCATATCTTTTACAAAAGCTAATTTGTGAGAAATCAGACCTGGGTGTGAAAGGTAAAATAAAAAGGTACCTAAGGACTTCCGCCATGATGGAGACGTAGGTGGAAGCACTGCGCCTTCTAGCATAACTAGATTTAAAAACAACAAAGTTTTAGCAACAAAAACGCAGCCAAACCACAGAAAATTGAACTACACAGAAGTCTGACAACAACGAACCCTTCAGCCAAACCAGTAAGAGGGGCACAGCCAGCAGCAGAGCGGGGTGGGGCAGGAAAGATCCACCTGACCAGACGACCCAGGCGCGCGACCTAGGTGCGCCAGCAGCCGCAGGCAGATCCCAGGTGTGGAGAAGCGGGCAGACCTACTGAGGGTGCAAGGCGTTGGACCCACTGAGGGCTGATTGCGGTCACACATTAGCACGCAGATAAACTGGTGAAGGAGCGAGCAGTGAGACGGACTGAGCAGGCCCCAGCCGCAGAAAGCGGCAGAGGGGACCGCCATTGTCCCTCTCTGACCCCGCCCCCACATACAGCATCACAAACCAGCAACCTGGGTAGCCCTGGCCTGGTGAACACCTAAGGCTCCACTCCTCATACGTAATAGGCACGAACAGATCAAAACATGGCTCAAGGACAACTCAGAGCCCCAGAGCCAATAAATCTAAGTGATGAAGAAATAGCCAAACTTTCAGATGCACAGTTCAAAACACTGGTGATCAGGATGCTTACAGAACTGGTTGATTTTGCTCACAAATTAGAGGAACATATGAAGGCTAAACTAATTGAAATGAATGGAAATCCACAGGAAACCAATAGTAATGGAAAGGAAACTGGGACTCAACTCAAATGAGTGGACCAGAAGGAAGAAAAAAATGACCAAACAGAAAAATATGAAGAAATAAGAATTCAAAAAAATGAGAAGAGGCTTAGGAACCTTCAGGACATCTTTAAATGTTCCAACATCCGAATTATAGGGGTACCAGAAGGTGAAGAGGCACAGCCACAAGTGGAAAACTTATTTGAACAAATAATAAAGGAGAATTTCTCCAATCTGGCAAAGGAAATAGACTTCCAGGAAATCCAGGAAGCTCAGAGAGTACCAAAGAAGTTGGACCCAAGAAGGAACACACCAAGGCACATCATCATTACATTAGCCAAGATTAAAATGGAGAGAATCCTAGAAGCAGCAAGAGATAAGGGGACAGTCACCTACAAAGGAGTTCCCATCAGACTGTCAGTGGATTTCTCAAAAGAGACCTTACAGGCAAGAAGGGGCTGCAAAGAAGTATTCCAAGTCATGAAATCCAAAGACCTACAACCAAGATTGATCTTTCCGGCAAAGCTTTCATTTAGAATGGAAGGGCAGATAAAGTGCTTCTCAGATAAGATAAAAGTCAAGAAGTTCATCATCACCAAGCTCTTACTATATGAAATGTTAAAGGGACTTATCTAAGAAAAAGAAGATAAAAAAGATGAACAGTGAAAGCACAGCAAACTCATAGTTATTAACAACCACACCTAAAATAAAAGCAAACTAAGAGGACAGCTAGATCAGGAGTGTAACCATAGAAATGAAGATCACATGGAAGGTTAGCAACAGGGGAGTGGGAGGAGGAGAAGGGGGGAGAAGGTACAGAAAATAAGTAGCATAGACGGTAGGCAGAAAATAGATAGGGGGAGGGCAAGAATAGTATGGGAAATATAGAATCTAAACTTGAGACACATGGACATAAACTAAAGGGGAGGAATGGTGGGGGAGGGGTGTGCAGGGTGTAGGGGAGTAAAGGGGGGAATAGGACAACTGTAAAGGCACAATCAATAAAATATATTTTTTTAAAAATGAAAAAAAAGGTATCTAGAAGAAAATACAGACTGTCCTCATAGTCTTGGCATAATAGGTAAAGCTTTTTTATATATGATACAAAATGCATTAATCATAAAACATGAGTAAAACCAGTTTTGCCTCAAATATTGCTGTAATTCTTACCTTCCTCTCCATCTCTACAATGTTGATCTATTTAAGTGTCACTTTGGCTTGTGGCAGGGAGGTGGGGTCCAGAACAAGCCACCCCAAGATGTGCCTCAGTGGCCTGCTGATTATTTTGCTGTAAAGACAATTTTAGCTTCAGGCTCAAGAGAAACTTCTGCCCTCCTCTCCCAAGTAGTAGAAGAATTTGCATTAGAAGCCTGCCCATAAGAGATTATCAGAGATCGTTTCTTTCGACCTATTTATAGGACAGGGAAAACTACTAATTACTGAATGTCTGCTCTTATCATCCTGCAATGGCCTTTTTAATTTCCCAAGGCACCTTACCTCATCCCCAGCTCAAAATGTCTCATATTCCTCAATCCTCCTTTCTATCTCTGAACCTCTCAAGTATGCATGGTCTCTGACTTTTTCATGTATGTGGGATTCCCATGCACATGATGTTCGATTTTTTCTCTTGTCAACGTGCCTCCTCGTGATTTGATTTGATTATTTGGCCAGCCAAAAGAACCAGAGGAGGGAAAGGGAAATTTCCCCCCTCCCCCACATCTGTAAAACAGCAGTTGTCCCCCCAGCAGCTATTCTCCTTTTCTCTTTAATTATTCTTCCACAGCACAGAGAGCATAATACACTTACTTAAAATGCAAATTTGACTTTACTGTCTTTTTTGATTAAAAATCCTAATAATGGGTTAGCATCATTAAGAGAATCACATCCAAGCTTCTCAGCAGAACACACATCTTGTTCTTTATGACCTGGCAGTCATTCACTCCAACCAGTCTACTTCTAACTTGAATTTTGGCTCTACTAATTTCAGAGTTCACATTGTTTTGTAACACACATCTTATTCTGGAATTATCTTTCCCATTTCCATCATCAACTACGGTATTCTTATTCATCTTTGGAAGCTGGCAGTTATCGCATCTTTGAGGAATCCATTCCTATAGCTTATATTCCACAGGTGGCCCACCTTGCTATCACATACTCCCCTTCTTTCATTTTACTACTTAAAACAGAACTGGTTTAAGTTTCCGCAGGGCATTAACATTTTTGCATCCCTGAGCTTAGTTTAGATTTTGGATGTGTTAACATTCAAGTTTATGTACTTGCTTCATCTCTACTGACTAAGCCGCTTACTCCCACTCCCTCTTGCTTTTCCCACCCCTTGCAAAGTAACTTGCTGGAAGCTTCATCTGATCGGTATGCATCAAAGGCTGCTGAGCGAAAGCCTGACTGACTAGGCCGGAAAGTAAAGCGGCACCTAGACAACTTCAGGCCACCTTCCTCCTTTCAGTGCCTTCCGAAGAAAAAAGTTTCTCTTCCTAATTTGGGAAGCCAACTGGGAAGAAAACCTGGGCCTGTATTGTTCTGAGAAATAAAACATTCTACCCGCACCGGACCCCAAAACAGCTTCACTCTGTCTAGCCTCTTCAGGAGCAGAACGAGTTCTGGCGAGTAGTGCATTCGGGATTCCAGCGCGTAGATCCCGCGAGCCACGCGCTGGCACAAGGGAACTTTCTCCTGGAAAACAACACTTAGGGGCAGATGACGTCACGGGGCTCGAAAGCACGGGCTGCTTCCGGTAACCTTCGGAGCTGTGAGGAATTGGGACAGTGGAGCACAATGTGGTTTGTTATTAACAGACACACAAACGCCCCCAAAGATCACACGTTCTCGAGGGACACAGAACCTTACGAAAAATCTTTTAAGCTACTACCCTATAAGTCTCTTATCAGAGAATGGGCGCGCGGTGAAAGGCGGCCTTAGTAGGCCCACCACAGCCTCCGTAGCCCTCGCTGCGAGGGGCGGGGATTAGGAGTTGGTCACCGGAAGCGGGGTGGGACCGGAGACAGGTTCCGCCAAGATCCCAGCGTGCCCCGCGCTTGCCTTTCGCCCTTCCTCCCCACCTCGGCACGCTGCGTGGCCGCTGGTTGGCTACTTAGGACGGAAGCTCGGTTTGGTCGTCTCCAGAAGTTTCCCTGTTGGGCGGCGGCGGGTCTGGTAACCGCGGCAGTAGCAACCCCAGCCAAAGCAGCAGTGACTGTTAGGGATGGCGGCCGCTGCAGCAGGACCTGCAACAGCTCGGAGGTACATGTTCTTTCTTTTTTATGGTATTTATTTTTATCCCCTCCCCCCTTCCCTTGATTAGTGAGCTCTGCTGAAGTCGTTGTTTTCCTGGCAGGTTTCTCCCGAGCTTCTCAGATGCTCTGGTCGACGAGGACCCCCAGGCGGCGTTAGAGGTGAGTAGACCCGTCTCAGCCTGGTCTACTTTCCTTTGGGGAACGCGGCGAACCCCGCCTCGTCCCAGCACATGCCTGTCTGGGAGCGGGTGGACTGTTTTTGCGGCGTCTCATCCTAGATTTTGACAAACTCGGCCTCTTTTTTTTCTCTGTTTCATATTGTCCCTTTCCCCCTCTCACTCCTGGACCTTGCCTGTATATTCGTATCTGTTGAGAAAAACTGTCTCTGTAGTTGACATTCATGGTTGGCTTGGAAGGATATTTATTTTAAATGATGTTTGACTACAAGGAAAAGTGAAGTCTAGGCTTGATGGTATTTAATTCGGTTTTTCCGTTTAACAAGTATCCTTGCCATTCTTATGTACCAGGCGATGTGCAAAGTATATGAATTCAGACTACCATAACAACCATAATTTCTCCTATGATCCTGAAAATTTCCAGATGTCTTGCTACTATCCATTATTGACTCATTTGTTTATGTATCAAAACAATATTTGGGGGGGGCGTTGCTATGTGCGAGGAATCCACTGAAGGCTTTACTTACATATTTAATTGACTTACAAGGCACTTTGTATGAAGCGAAAGACAATAAAGGTATATAAGGGAGTAAAAGGGCAAGAGTTAAATAATACGAAGTAGTAAGGAAAGCCAAAGCCCAAGCTAAGGCTGTATAATGCAGTGGGTCACAAAATTTATCCAGGTGTTTCTTGCTTTAAAACACTAGGAAAAGAACCCAAACCCTGTTCTGTTGTTACAATCTAACACACTTAAGGTTAGCAGTTTGAGTCAAGAGAATCGTTTTCATACCTATGACTTTTAGAAATAATTTGCCACGTGCTAATAGAGTCTAAGAAGATGACATCTGAGCAGAGACCTGAGGGAATGAGTGTGGAAGCTCTGGAGAAAGCGTTCATGCAATGCTAAAAATCCTGGCTAGGAATCAAGATGCTGGGTACAAGGAGCAGCAAAAAGGATCATTTGACTACAGTGGTCTGAAAAAGGAGTATGAGAGCAATAGGGGAGGAAACTGCAGGCTAGGTCCCTTAGTGCCTCTTCGGTCAAAATATGTTTTTGATTCTGGATGTGAAGGCCTTCAAATAAAGTGGTTGATTAATTAGTTGTACTATGATGTTTACTGATGAGGCCTCTGGGATCAGTAGTAGAATAACATGTTACTGAGATTTTTCTTTACAATTACTTATGTCTGCTAATACCTATTTTCAGAATTTACATTTGTTGTGGTCCTCTTCGGCTCAGTTCCGCCTTTGGAAATTCAGTTCATAAAAGGCGATTTTAAAGGTTATTGATGTTACTTTCCATCTCACTTGTTTTACTTTTTAACTTTTTATTGAAGTACAGCATGTAGATAACACAAATCTGAAGTTTGCAACTAATAAAGTTGTTTTACATACGTGTATATGATACAGAGAAACAATATAGAATACTTTTATCCTCAGGTTTTTCTCATGCTTCTTCCCAGCCAATAATCTTCCTTTCCCGCCAGACAACCCTTATTGTGACCTCCATCACCATCAATTAGTTTTGCTTGTTCTCGCACTTCACATAAACAGAGTCATAGGCTAGATACTCAGTTGAGTGTAGGTACTTGTCTTGCTTTAAACATTTTGTGAGATATATTCATATTGCTGTATGAAGTGGTAGTTCTTTTTCATTGCTTTGTAGTGTTCCACTGTATAAATGTAGCACAACTTACTCTAACAGTGGGCATGGAATGAGACTACTTGTGTCCAAATCCTGGTTTCGTGATAACTTTGTAACCTCAGAAAAGTCCCTGTTATCACTCTGGATCAGAATACCTGTCTCTAAATTGGAACAAAATAGGACCTTGAAAGGGTTATTATGAAGATAAGTCACGGGAGGTATATGTTGAGTCCCTTTGCTCTCTGTATTCTAGCCACTTTGGCTTTCTTTCTGTTTCTCGAATTTGTCATGCTCAATCCTGTTGAGTAGCCTTTGGGCTTGCAGTTCCTTTTTCCTAAAATATACTGTCTCCTGACCTACCTCATGCTTTGCTTGGGAATGCTTATCACCTAACATTTCAGGTGAAATGTCCCCTTCTCAGAGAAGCCATCTTCTCTGACCACCTTATATTTAGTGCAGGCCTTAGTGTAGTTTCAAGAGGGCAGGAGTTTTTGTGTATATTGTTTACCACCGTGTTCTTAGTGTAGTGCCTGGGAGATATAGGCACCCAAATGTGCTAAATGACTCTTACCATAATTCTTTCAACAACTGTGAGGTGGGTATTTGCATTTTCTAACAAGGAAGCTGAGGCTAAAGAGTTTTAACTTGCTCCAGGTTATATAGTTTAGAAGAGGTAAGTCTGGGTTCTGCGCGTTGGGGTCATCTTCTGGAGGAGGGGGTAGGATTGGGGTTATATGATATAATTAAAGGTCTGGTAGCTGACTTTGAAGTATCTGACCACCGATAACTTTGTTGAGAGCATAGCTGGTTAGCATAAATGTGTTGGTACAAGTTCTCCATGGTGATGTGTGGTTTTTCTCCAGGAGTGTTAGGCCGTTGAGGAAGGGAGAAGGGTTGATACTCTTTATTATCCGTGATTGGGAATTAGCTGTAGCTAGAAGAAAACAGAAAATGGTATTAAATTGAGATACCCAGAGCTAAAGTCCTTTGAATTTTTTGTCAGTCTGAGCAACACTGCTTTTGCTTTTAACCTTAAAACAATTTCCTTGTCAGATAGCATTTTATTTTTATATTTTATTTTATTTCTTATTGAATGTATTGGGGTGACATTTTATTTTAAAAGAGCTTACAACTTAAAAAATTTAGAAATCTGTTTCTAAGAGATCCAAGTCTTAAACAATCTTACTGCCTTGAAAAGGAGTTTTTCCCCTATTCTGGGTTACCAGGGACTTCCTTCACAGTTACCTTAGCTCTTACCTATGTGATTTCAGCATAATTGTATTTTACAATTCACAAGGTTTTTTATTTTTTTATTTTTGAGAATTATAAATTGCTTCACTGTAACATCTCATTTTATCTGAGTATAACTTTGGACATATTTACAGTATATTTTCAGTTGGTCTCCATTAAATAATAGCTTTTTGCTACTGTGATTGAATATTTTTGCCTTTTCAGACCCCTCCCTTTAGTCCCTTTGTATTCCAGCAGCCAGCAACTATTGTCACAGAAACAGAACTCTGAAAACAAGCCACAAGTCAGGTGTAGTTTAATGCAGCCACAACTTGTTATTTTATCTTCACTTTTTCTGAATTTATTATATGCAGTACTTATAATAAACTGATTATTGTTCCATTCATGACTCACATGTATCATAATTAAGTTTGTGTTCAGTTTTTGAGAAAAGTTTTTTAGTAATAGCCTAATAAGTCAATTGCTCATTTAACTGAGTTACTGTAAAGTGTCCTTAACCAACAGTTGACTTTTATTTTTAAAGGTTACTTGCATGTTGGTTGTTTGAAATTCATAAGTTTTTACCTGACTTTAAAAGAAAAGGAATGTAATTTGTCTTTGTACTCACAGTGTCTAGCCTTTGTTAAATATGTGTTTAAAGTAGTGTTTTGAATTGATGATTTAGATATTAATATAATCTGTAACAGCCTTTTGGACCCATGGTATATCTACTTTGCTGAGGAGAGGCTAGAAATTTGGTTTGCAGATAATATTTGAGTAGGTAGGTGAGAAGTTACCAGCTATTTTCAAAATTGAAAGTTTAATGCAAGATGGTATTATTTAACTTAGGAGTTTCAAAGTATTAGAAAACATAATACAAATGTCAGACAGACAGTATGTGAAAAAGAACTTGGAGTAAAGAAACATTACCAAGAGGCAGTGCTTTCTAGTGGTTAAAATCCAATTTGGAAACACACAGACCTGGATTTGAATCCTTTCTCTGGCACAGTCTTGTCACTAATTAGGAAGTGAGGGAATGAATCTGTGCACATTTGAGGGAAGAGCGTTCTCGTGAGAGGGAGCAGCAGGTGCAGAGTCCTGCTTGTGTGGGAACAGCAAGGAGGCCGTTGGACTAGAATGGACTAGAATAAAATAAAGGGAAGAGTAGTAAGAGATGATATCAGAGATAGCAGAGAGTTATATCAAGAAGGGCCCTTTAGGTTATTGGACGGACTTGTGCTTTGGCTCTGGGTCAACTAGAAAGACATTGGAGAGTTTTGAACATAGACATAGTAACAAGATCTGATTTTCATTATGGCTTGGATCAGGACAATAAGGGTTGAGATGATAAAAAGTGGTTTGGATTTTAGGTATATG